TGCACGTATTTGTACTGGTGCAGAATAGTACAGCCTAGCGCATTTCACACAGGCTGCTAGATTCACTTTCGCCAGAAAGTCGTGTATGCCTAAGGTTAAAAATAAATGATGTTTATAGTGAATGCCACTATAAATGGTCTTATTTTTACGATTTAGTTTTAATCCAAATGATGCGTGTGCTAAGTGAGTGAACATCAAAGATCACACAACAGAATTGCGCTCTCTCTCTCTCTCTCTCTCCCTACCGTTAAGTAACTTGTGCATTGTTTTACTTACTTCTTTTTGACGTATCCGACCGAACTACAAACTTTCCAGTGATGTCTGTGAGAAAGGTATATTCACTCGACAAGCTCGCGCATCTGCGCCGCCGCGCGCTCAATCCACTCAGCGTGCTTTGCTTAGCTCGCGCACATCAGCTATACAGTCAATCAATACTGAATGTTTAACATTATATTCATTGCATACATATACTTCGTAGACATCCTTAATCTCTTGAATGGCACTTAACACATGCTGTGTGGTATCGGCGTTTGGTATCGGGGCATTTTAACGAGTACAGGAGCTCAGCATCGGGCCCGATACCAGTATCGGTGCATCCCTAATATATATATATAATTAAAATGAATATAATTACCCAAAAAAATGTTAACATATTTAATTATAATATAATAATAGTGCTTATTTAATTTAACTTAGAATAGAATAGAATAGAAATGTTAATCATAAACAAACAAAAAAAACAATCATTATAAATCTACTTGTTTTCCACTGAAATTGACAAAAGTTTATCGAGAATACCTAAAATTGAATAAACTGGTGTAATTAAAAACTGGGTATTTTGTCGTTTTATTTAATTGTTTGTTAACCTCATTTTCAAGGTTCCAATATGGTTCGATTGCTAAAAACTAGTGCTGTCAAATCAATTAATCGTGATTAATCGCATCCAAAAATAAAATTTGGTGTTAACACAATGTTCGTGTGTGTATGGTGCATATTTATATATAAATATACACACATGCATATATTTAAGAAATATATGTAATATATATTCATATTTATATATAATATGAATCATACATAAATATATATAAATATATACACACACACGTAAATAATTAAGTAATATTTACGTGTGTGTGTAATATGCACCGTACACACGAACATTGTGTTAACACAAGATTTTGTGTGTATAATGTGTGTTTACTGTGTGTATTTATATATACATATAAATATACACAGTAAACACACATATTAAGTAAACAAACTTTTATTTTGGATGTGATTAATCGATTTGACAGCACTACTAAAAACACCTGCCTATGTCAGTAGTAGGTTTTTAAACAAACTTACTGTACCTCTGTGAAACTATTTCTACATCAGTTTGAAAAGCAAATATTTAGACTGAAAGGAAGATGTAGAAAAACACAACAGGATATAAAAGTAAGGGGTTAGTGAGAAGCAGACCTGATGATGTCCTTATGACCATTGCAGGCAGCAAGATGCAGGGGGGTGTTATCCCTGCCGTTCCCCTCTAAGAGAGCTACCACCATGTTACTGTTCAACAACAGCTGGGTCACCTGGAGTAAAGAATTAAGACACAGTGAGGAAGCCATCCAAAACTAGAACACTTTCAGTCAGCAAGTGCTCCAGTTTTGCCTACTAATGTCTAAACAAGATGTCACTGCCAATGTAAAATACAAGAACGCAACCAGCCTGAGTTGTCAGCCCAGGCATTTGACTTTGTACTCCCTGGCATTGAGAATCTGTCAAATGGAATTCAGTTTCCAGTTGGGGCAGAATCCTCCTGCAGCCCAGCAACGGACTCGCTGGTGTGCTGCTAAATTAGACTCATTCCATCAGCCCGACTCTCTGCAGCATTTGCATTCTATAATTCCAAATGATTTGGGCGAAAGATTAAATACAAGTAGTTCACCCTGGCAAATCTAGTTTAACTGTCATCAGGAAAGCCATCTTTTAAAGCCTTTCATCTCTATTCGCCCACCTTAGGGCTTGTGCAGGCAGTTTGTATGAGCTTACTGATATTCTTTGCCGCTGAATGCATATGTAATACAGTCTTCACCAAAATAAACAAGACCTCGTTCAAGCTCTGTTATGTCATGAACTCCTGCTCATAATTATAATAGAGATTGCAGTGTGGAAATAGATTCAGCACTATGAGCTTGCATTGAGACTGGGATAACTCGGATGGATGTTATAAAGGGCACAGCTATTTTAAATCAGATAAGCTCTAACTATATTGACGCAGAAATACCAATAGCTGAACAATTCCACTGCACCCATGTCATTTCATGTCTGCTGGTTTTATTCTCTGGTCATGTTTTACTTTTGTATAATATCCACATATTGTTAAATGAAATATCAATATTACATGAATATTAAAATACTTTTTTAACTTTATTTTTAAATTTTTCTTTATTATTTAAACTTTATGGCCGATAACCAATAAATGGTCAATAATATATTCTAAACTATTTTGTCAAAAAACTAAAAACACTAAAAACTAAACCCAATCATTTTAAATGCATTTAGGCATCACTAAACTGTAATACACAGAATGTAAAATGGATATTCATTTTGAGATTTGCAAAAGATTACATTCAACAATAGTATAAAATTACTCTTTAATTATTATCTTTAAATTATTCTTTTAGATGATGCAAAGGTAAATTGTAAAAAATTATTTTTCAAAGTTAAAACAGATTAATCAAACTTATTGGAAATTATTTTAAAGATTATTGGAGTTTGTTTTACAAGAAAATACTATTTCAGTCTTTCTACTTTAAAATTTCAGATTTAATTTAATGTGTTACTTGCCATTTCTTTGTAATTATTTGAGTGAAAAATACACATTTTATATATATACAAATAAAGCTAAATAAAATAATTTTACTACCAACAAAACTTTTATCTAGTTGAACACAAATGGGTGTGTTGAGTAGTGTTAATTTCATTAATGAAGACTATGATGAAAAATGTTCATTGACCAGCTTTTTTCCCATGACTAAAACGAGACTACAATAAGGTCAATTAACGATAACTAAGACTATATCAACATGCAATTTCGTTGACGAAATAAGACGAGACTAAAGTGTATTCAAAAAGATAAAAACTTTACCAAAAACCTCTTTTTATTTTCGTAAAATAAACGCGAGCTTTCATGAGTGCAGTTGCCAGATATCAAGAGTTCTAATCCCCGAATCAGAGCTTCGCTGTTAAATTCATACATTTTCTGCCCGGTGTGTTTTGCTTATTTTAAGCAATCTGGCAACCATGCGCACGCACTCACTCCTCATTGCGGAAGCGCAGATGATCTGAAAAACAAACAAGCTGGAGTTTAGCGATCTAAATGAAAGCGTCATTCAGCCGGTGTTCTGTCGATCATGAGATCTCACCATATTGTTTGCGATTGTGATCGCTGAATAAATACACTTACTCAATCGCTGCTGTTTTAATAGAGAAATAGACTATTGCAATTATGGAATTAGTGGAATTACTAGGAATTTCACTATTATAATATTTTTCGTTTGTTTTAGCTGTTTTCATAATGTAGACAGAGAGATTGCATGAGTGTTTGGGTGTTGATTTATATAATAAAAACCCTATAATAAATCAGTACACTAGATGAGGTAAAATACACCATGTATGTGTCCACATTCTATTGATTTGTGCTTACTGGAGAAAGTGCAATACCTGAAATGCAAAAGTAAATTTCTCAAATGACAACAATCATTACGATTATAATTTTGAGAAAAATTTTTTTTTTATCAGTTTAACGATTATACAGAATGAAGAGAATGTGACTAATATTTCATTGACTAAAAAACCTGACTAAAATGCTCATACATTTCATTGAATAAACAAAAACAGGACAAGTTTGTCTACATATGATAACTAAAATGTACATTTGAGCAAGACTAAATTAAAAATGGCTGCCAAAATTAATACTGCTGTACGGTTAATTAATAATAATCTTATTGCTAAAATGTCAAGTTTTCTTGGACTAAAACTAGACTAAAATGTTGAGACTTTTAGTCGACTAAAACTTGACTAAAACTAAATAGGATAAGGTTGACTAAATATGATAAAAACTAACAAGGACATTTTAGCCCGGGACTAAGACTAAGACTAAAATGAAAATAGCTGACAAAATTAACACTAGTGTGGAGACAATTTAAGACCCAAAAGCTTATTTCCATTAAATGTAATAACATTTTTATTTCTGTGTTTGTTAGTCTTTAAAAATGCAAACTGAATATTCTGCCTCTTAATTGTGATTAAATCCGGCATTTTCACTCAGTAATTATTAATATAGTGTGAGAATAAGCCTTTAACTCATTAACAAAACTTCATTCTGTTTGATGTAGTCAGGATCTTTCTCTATTTGCTACACCACATTGGCAACTCTAGTATGCTTTTTTGAGACTAACACAATTCAAACACATATTAATCCCACTGAGGTGGTACAGCAGCAGGTCCAAGTTACAACATCACAACTGATGTACTGTAACTACACTCTCGTGACTCACCTTGAGTCTGCCAAACTCACAGGCCAGGTCCAGAGGGGTCTTCTTGGCCTTGTTGACAGTACAGGGGTTGGACTGGTGTTGTAGTAGCATTTCAGACTGAGGGGAGACACAGACACACAGAGATACTGTGAAAGGGCAGAGAGGATGTGTCTGGCTACATAAGGTTTCTGCGATTACACAATAGAAGACCATGTCAAAAGCCATATCAGTTTAAATCTATCCATATATGAAAAACTGAAAGAGCATCCAAAAAGGGCATGGACTAAGAGGGGAAACTCCAAATAAATACTGTATATTATTGCGTTATATGGCACACATTATACCCTGTGACATGTTTTGTGAGGAAGGGTATGCCATTTGGAAAGGGAATACTCTGCATTTCAAGCCAAACAACTGGTCAATCTAACCTGGTTCTGAGAGGTATCATATACACAGCGAGGTTAACTAAAAAATGCATTGTTTTGAAACAAAGCCCTGGACCTGCAAAGTAATGCTATCTTTGCAGGGGACCTCTTTTCTGCCTCGAGCGTGCAACGACACGTCTTGCATTTTCCTTCCTTTTCCTTTAGAAAACATGAAACAGTATGTATCCTTTTTATCTAGCTGCCAGAGATCTGTAAACAGCCTCAAAAGCTATATTTTGGTTTTCACAGCACATTCCTGAGTCATTATCAAAGTGCTGCATTCAGCCTTTTTGCTCATTTATTTTGAAGATACTAGTAAGTGACATAAGCAGTGATGCACTGAAAATTCGACAACCGAAAATAACTTGTCGAAAACAAATTTTTGGTTTCACGTCAATGGCCCTGGCTTTATATTTACCTCAAGAAATCCATTCAATGCCCATAGTTTGCTAGTTAGCTAGAAATATTAACTCTAGAGAGAAGCATTTAGCTAGATATTTGCACTATATTATATATATTATTTAACCTGGTGCCTTCATTATTTAATGTAAGTTTAAATAAATCTGTCATGAAAACATGCTGTTAAGAGTTTAATTTTTATTACTGCTCAAATGTTAATTTCATTACCATTTAAAAGTTTATTTTTCAAGAGTGAATTAGAGTAGAAACAATTATATAATCAAAAAAGTTGTTAATTAAAAGTTGTTGTAATTAAAATGATTATATACAACTTTTGATTTGAGTGTTGATGATTAAATACATTTAATTAATTGATTATAAAATATTTGTTTTTTGGCTAAAATGAAAAAAATTTCAGTTTCCGTAAAAAACTCATTTCGGTGCATCACTAGATACAACAAATACAAATCCAGAGTTTGTAATGGGAATACAATGTATTTCCCACATTGCTTGGGCACTTCTATGATTGTTTTTTAAGTCATTCTTTGGATGGAAGTCACTTTAAGCAGCCCAGACAACATCAGTACATCAAGTCCCCACCATACCTGTCAAACATACCTATTTTTATACAATGGATCGTGGTATAGGTGGAAGTCTGAAACCTATTTGACTTTCGACATTGTTCTCCCTTTTGTCAGTGTAGACTGGCACAAATTGGTCAATAGTGGAGGAGCAGTGTGCTACATACCACCTCATAGTGTCCGTACTGTGCAGCCAGGTGGAGAGGGATCTGTCCATCTTGTGAAGCCCCATTCACAGAAGCTCCGGCTCTCAGGAGCATAAGTACAGAGTCAGCCTTCCCCTGCCAGGCAGCATAGTGCAGTGGACGCATACCTACAACAGTGAGCAGAAAATCATTATTTTCACAGCTACTTGTTCTTTTACACTGGAAACATACAGGGCTTCTTTCTCTGGTGGTGCAGTCATTTGTCTGTTGAAATGGGAAAAATTGTGACTACCTAGCTTGTCTATGTTTAGCCCATCCACAACACAAGTTTGGAGTTTGAATAAATTACTATTTGTATAAATTTGTTTATAGACTTTTTATCCAATTTGTTTTGATGGTACATTAAAGAGATATTGACCCAAAGATTCTCATGTTGTTCCAAACCTGCATGGCTTTGTTTCTTCTGCAAAATACAAACTAAGATGTTTAGCAGAATGTCAATGCTGCTCTTTCATATACAATGAAAGTGGCTGGGGATAGGAACATTTGTGGTCACCATTCATAGAATAAGTATGGAATAACATATGAATGAGTAAATGACAAAATATCTTTAAATTAATACAAAACTTTCACAATATTACACGTACAGAACATGAACATAGATTAGGATACATGGAGAGTATAACGTTCGCCGTTTTCATATATTTTCTGGATATTATGTAAAAAAACAATTCATTGATTTATTATTAATATTTTGGACAAAAAGAGTTAATGTGAGGGAAAATACAGTTGAAATTGTACAGTTTTCCAGTTGTATTGATGTTTTCGATTATGCTTTGGAGATGATAAAGAAAAAAATACGGAAGCCTATATGAGAACACTTGAGACCATGGTCACTTTTTTACTGGCCTTATGCTCTGAAGCATTTTTTAGAGCTGTCAAATTGATTAAATGTGATTAATCACATCAAAAATAAAAGTTTGTGTTTACATGATATGCGTGTATTGTATACATTTATATGTACAGTATATATAAATACACACACATGTATATATTTAATAAACATATATATATATATACACACACACACACACACACACAGTATTACATATATTTCTTTTAGAAATATATATATACACACACAACTTATATATATCTTAATATACACAAGTATGTGTGTGTATTTATATATATGCATATACACAGTACACATACATATTTTATGCAAACACAAACTTTTATTTTGGATGCAATTAATCGATTTGACAGCCCTAATATTTTTGTAACTTTTTATTTTTTCATTTTATATATTTGTCTTTATGCCTATATGGCATGACCACTGTGATCTTCTGACTTCTAGTGTTTCATCAGGTATCAGCTATCATTGTATCAGGGATATTTAGTTTTGATATCTTTACATTATTTTGTGCCCACTTATTAATATATTCTATATATTTAAATGTACTTTATTTACTATACTGTTGTTTTTGGACCTTGCATTTGTTGAATTATATACCTTATCAGAAAACAAAAAGGTTATTAAAAAAAAAAGTAATTATACAAAAGATAGTAAAGTAAGGAAATACATTCTAAATGTTTTACAAACTCATTGGCTCATGGATAAAAATGGTAAAGTGTCTCACCATTGCTGTCTTTGATGTCCACGGTGGCTTGTGCCTCCAACAGCAGAGACAAGAGGTCAGTGGTGCCAGTGAGAGCCGCATGATGAAGAGCTGAAAAACTGAAGAACAGAGAAACAGTCCTGAAAACTACACAAAAATTATGTTAAAATGTTAAAATGTACAAAATGTTAAAAGCTACCTAGACCCCTAAACTGAATGGCTTATTGCTTATATTCACAAAACATTTGGCAAAACAGCAGCTGTTCCGATTTAAGAAAGAATAGTAATAAACTGTAAACATGAAAAATATGGTGTATTTTATGTCATGATGAGCCATACTGAATCAATATATCAAAAAAGGCCTTCGTTCATTTTTACAAACAGAATATGACAAATATGCATCTAATTTTTCCATCTGGTGTGATAGAGGGAAATGTTTGGCCAGTCTGGTGATATTTCTGTCACAGGGTTCAACTGAGTACAACACTGTGATCAGTCCTGATGGCACAGCTAGAGCTCACTGCCCAATTAGAAGACAGATCTCTGCTTTCACAGTCACTCCAGCTCCTAAAATATGCATGTGTTTGAGGGAACAGACGACTGAAGAATAAATAAAAGAACATTTCTTAACATAATTTAAAAGGATTGAACTCAACCAATGTGGATTAGTCCTAATAAAGCTGCATCTTCTCCATACATACATAAGTCATGGTCCTAAATGTAATAAATAGTGTGATGTTCGAGACAGATCTAGAGATATGATATATTGAAGGGATTGCTATTGTAAGTGAAAGAGCTGAATTACAGGATTATCATTTCTCAAATCTGTGATGACAAGTATGCTTAGCAGTTACTAATCTATGGGACAATATGTGGTCATGTAGTTAGTTGGCAAACCTTTGAACATCCTCACGCTCAGTTCTAGGAATGGCTATTAAAATGTGTCAGTGCAGCTAATAAGCATATAATTAGCTCCATAGATTAAGCTGACTTTTCCTTGCAGTCTCAGATTGTTTCCAGGGTCTGAAACTGAATCTGGCGGAGCCGCGCAAATCCCAACAAAGCACTTCTGTCTGCGGTAGATAAATATATAATTTGTATTAAAAATATATCACAGGAAGAGAATACCAAAATTAGACGTACTTGTCTTAGAGAGGAAACTGTTGTCCGTTTTCACTAGCAGCTAGCTTCTGCTTTGCACAATACTGTCATCCGGTGTCAGCGTAGACAGGTTCAATGATGCTCCAATTCAAGTTGCTCAGTATTTATTTAACAGTTTAAAGGATCAGTTCAGAGAAATTCCTTTCCAGTCCATAAGTGTAACTCAACAACATCACCATAAAATCCCTCTGACTTGAGTTTAATGATGGGTGAGACATTCGTGCATTTTACAGTGCACTTGTCAAAACCTGATTTTACCAAAAAACACCTAAAATACAGGAGAATCAGGGCCTAAACAGAGTGCACACCATACAGTGAACAAATTGATGAAATCAACCAAAGGACATTACTTCTTCAACGGTTACTATATGATTCAAATTTCAAAAGTTTTAAATCATGAACTAATTAATTGAACATATTTATATTTATATATATTTAAACAGGATATATGACACACTACTGTTCCAAATTTTGGGGTCAACAAGATTTTTAATGTTTTTGAAAAGTCTCTTATGCACACCGTGGCTGCATTTATTTGATCAAATTACAGTAAAACCTGTGATTTCGTTACATATTATTACAATTTAAAATTATTTTATTATTTTAATGTATTTTAAAATGTCATTTATTCCTGTGATGGCAAAGCTGAATTTTCAGCAGCATTACTCCAGTCTTCAGTGTCACATGATCCTTCAGAAACCATTCTAATATGCTAATTTGGTGTTTAAAGAACATTTCATATTATCATCATGTTAAAATCTGGTGACTTTTTTCAGGATTGTTTGAGTAACAAAGTTCAACCTAAAATAAAGAAGAAAATACCCATTGTGTGTGATGTCAACATGCGATTAAGGTTATGTTCCTCATAACTTTACATTAAACATCAACTTTTTGCAGTCAGTGTGGGCAGACAAATTACTTTTAAAGGTTTTTCCAGGTTAGGACACGTAAGGTTCCCTGAACCCATTTTACACCTCCTCCAGTCTTCTCCTTCATTGCATTGCTGCGGTGCTCCTACAAGCCCTTTCATGCAGAAAAGACAAACCGACCCCTTTATCTCATATATGAGCACAACTTCACACATATCATCTCCCAAAGAGACCATACACCAAAATAACACCCAATACTGAAGCTTCAGCAGGGACTTGGTTAAAATCTTATGAGGGTTTAAAATCATATGAGAGTTTTGTGAAACTAACAAATAAGAGATGGAAAAAAGCACCCTGCGGCTATTGTTCAGAAGCCACAGATGTTGAGAGTGAGTAACGCTGATGATTAATATGACACATATCTGAAGAATGCTGTGTTCAGTCTATGGTACAGCACACACTATCTGATCCAAACTTCTTAAACACATCAGTATGTCATCTACTGCGCATGCTAAAAATATCCCACCAGGATTTGACAAATTATTATATACTATTCCCATAATACAGATGGCAGTATGATTTGAAGTTCCTGATACTATAATGGAAGGCTGGATGGATGGATGGATGGATGGATGAAAGGAAGGCGAGCAAAAGGAACAAATGAGTGAAAGAAAGAAAGAAAGAAAGAAAGAAAGAAAGAACGAACAAAAGGAACAAATGAGTGAAAGAAAGAAAGAAAGAAAGAAAGAAAGAAAGAAAGAACAAAAGGAACAAATGAGTGAAAGAAAGAAAGAAAGAAAGAACAAGGAAGGAAGGAAGGAAGGAAGGAAAGAAAGAAAGAAAAGAAAGAACAAAAGGAAAGAAAGAAAGAACAAAAGGAAAGAAAGAAAGAAAGAAAATCAACGAACAAAAGGAACAAATGAGTGAAAGAAAGAAAGAAAGAAAGAACGAACAAAAGGAACAAATGAGTGAAAAAGAAAGAAAGAAAGAACAAAAGGAACAAATGAGTGAGTGAAAGAAAGAAAGAAAGAAAGAAAGAAAGAAAGAAAGAAAGAAAGAAAGAAAGAAAGAACAAAAGGAACAAATGAGTGAAAGAAAGAAAGAAAGAAAGCGAACAGCGCCAGTAGCAGTGATGAATAATGAAATGTTTTTCCTCCACCTCAGCTGCAGGTCCCTCAGGAGCCGGTTTCTCAGTTCCTCTCCTGCTGCTCACAAAAGCACAAATTAGCGCTCATGCTAATGTGAGGCCCTCAACTTCATGGAGATGTGCTTTCAACTTTCTGCCACTTTCGTCTCTCAAGACTAATGGGACCCCAGATTCAACAACAGCACACACTGTACAAAAGCAATTAGACTTTACCCAGCAAACAGGGATTAGTGAGTCACAGAAATGAGAATGAGAATTACATAAAAACACATGTTAACAAATAATATTCCCACAAATGCTGTCCCAAATAGCCTAAGAGAGATGTCTTAACAAATAGTTTCAATATTGTCCTGAACATTAGCTCCCAGCATGCACTGCAGAATGAACGTACAGATATTTGCTACTCTACACTGCTCAAAACTCGCGTTTGAATCGTCAGTGGCAAATTCTTTAAATATAAAAAAACGTACTTACAGTCTGTGAGTCAGAACAGCCGGCACTGTAGTCTACTCTAACAGGATCAGGAAACAGTCCTCCATAAAATGCGCTGCACACATCTGATTATTTGGGTTGAACTGTTCTGGAACAGTGTTGTAAATACAACTTAACCACTGATTTCTAGTCATGTCTTCATGTCTACTTCTACAAAGTAGTTTCGCTTTCACAACTAAACACACAGCGCCTTCACGACATGGCAGTGGCGGCAACAACAATACTACAGCAAGAATAAAAGTTATGCCTTCTTTCTTTGCGTTAACATTTGGGCGGCGTTATGCAAATCTTCCCACATCGTGACGTAGACATGTGGGGGCGTGTTAGTTTTAGGTAGGCGTGGTTGACTCTTAACTTTTATAAAGAATATCTCTTTGGATTTGAGACTTTAGTCTTTGCAACTTTACAGATCTTCTTTATGCACCAAGAGCTTGTAACACTCCAAAGAGAAAGGAAAAATTGAAATCGCATCATATGACCCCTTTAATGATGTCCTTACTACCTTTCTGGGCCTTGAACATGTCAGTTGCGTTGCTGTCTATGCAGGGTCAGAAAGCTCTCGGATTTCATCACAAATATATGAATTTGTGCTCCGAAGATGAACGAAAGTCTTACGGGTTTGGAACGACATGAGGGCGAGTAATTAATGACAGAATTTTTGGGGTTTTTCATTTCATTTTACATTTTTTCATTTTTGGGATCTCTTTAATGCACTCTGATATTATCAATGTTACAGTGACCGAGAGAGCTCAACGCGCTGCAAATGAAAAAATACATGCAAATAGAAAAACACCTGCAAATTAAAGAAAACATCTTCATCAATTTGACAGCACACGCGCTGCAAATGCTCACAGCTCAACCAAATAAAGAAACGCGCTGCAAATGCTCACAACACAACCAAATAAAGAAATGCGCTGCAAAAACAGAAACGCGCTGCAAATACTCACAACACAACCAAATAAAGAAATGCGCTGCAAAAACAGAAACGCGCTGCAAATACTCACAACACAACCAAATAAAGAAACGCTCTGCAAATACTCACAACACAACTAGTGGTCGACCGATATTGGTTTTTTGATGGCCAATAGGTTGTTTGCAATCACGTGATTCTGATGACGTGCGAAATGCAGCTGGAGGGCAGGAAGTGATTTTTCTCCATCGAAATCACTAACAAAACTCAAAATGCCGGTGTTTTGCGTTGTTTATGGATGCTCAAATCGACCAAACCGAGAAACCACAAGGAGCTTTTATCGTGTACGAAAATGTGTTGTTCATAAGGAGGAAAAAGTCAAGAAATTGGTTGAAAAACACAGGAAAAAGTGGCTTGTAAACCTGCGTCTGCGGTCGGGAGGAGCGGAGCCGGATAATGCTTGTGTGTGCAAATGGTTAATATAAGATATAATAATATATTAAGATATTAATAAAGATATAAATAGATTGGGCTGCCACCTCTCATGCATTCAGAATTCAATCAGTGCTAATTGCCACACGTAGACACGATGTAAATAAGATATTATTTGCAGTTCAGAAAGCTTCACTGATTATAAAGGAACATCGTAAGATTGCGATAAATTGAAGTGAGTGACAGCTTTTTAGTGATTATATGCAAGCGCTATTTGATCGCTTTCTAGGCTATAATCAATTCAGAATTTGAATAAAAGTTTTATTTTACGTGCTGCTAACTGGACCAACAGCCACATATACCACTTTCTAGTAAAAAAGAAGGATGTCAACATGATACAACAGCACATTTCCAGTGTTTAAACAGGTGGGACATGCACGCAATGTTCTGATGAGTAGCATAAATGTGACCGACGCTTTTGTGTAGCTGTGTCTGATGTACTCTGTTTGCTTCAATCTGCTTCTCAACAGTTATAAACATGCAAAACTCATACATTTGAGAATTTGAGTCAAATTTTCTGAGTTTACTGCATAAATATTTTACTGTAAAGGAGGCAGGTTTGGATGACTCACAAAACAACCCATCAAAATGTTATCATTTCTGTATATTTATCCCTTGTGCTGTGCAGAAAATCCTTTACCTAATTTGGTGCTCTTGGTCAAAAATGACCAGACTTTTAAAAATAGCTGGTAAATCTCACATTTCATTGCTATATTATCAACAAATTGAGTCTTTTTGTCAGCTTGTTTTCTTTCAGCAAGCCACATTGCACCTTACAACAAGCTTATGCTTTATATTAAAAAGCTTTATTTTTAGTCCAATGCACTAACATTAACTATTATCTTCAGTAAAAAAAATAAAATAATAATAAAATCTTCTATATACATATGTGGAAAACAAGGAAACTACATATATAATACATAATTTCCTTGTTCTCCACAATTTGGACCAACTGTGTGGAAAATGTGAGAACTTACCCTTCTTGGTCTTGGTAGTTCACATTTAGCCTCTTTGTGGAGCCCAGCAACTCTAGGAAAACATATGGAAATAAAAGTCAGGACATGATGTGATGTTTTCAACAAATCAGTCAGCTGCTGATCCCTCCATTAGAGAGGTATGAGGCATGATGATGTCATGGCATGAAAGCACTCATTTCAAACTTTCAACAGGCATTTGTTTTGTAATCAAACACAATGTAGATTGATGGTTATGTCATGTTTTTTTTTTTCTGTGAGTGACAAAACATTCATTACGAGTCTATTTTGTCATCTGAACAATATTTATATGTAAACCCACATTTTTATTATAACTTTTTTTTTTAATAAGAACTGAAAAGTTAAAACAGTTTAAAGAGGTCTTAAAGGGTTAGTTCACCCAAAAATGAAAATGAAGCTGCGTTTTACTCACCCGAGGCATCCTAGGTGTATATGACTTTCTTCTTTCAGACGAATCCAGTCGGAGTTATATTACAAATTGT